GATGCGCGACACCACCACCTGGAAGATGGCCTTGCGCGCCGCCGCCGTGGACTCGCCCAAGCGGTTGCCGTTCTCGTCCGTGACGGGGATGCCCAGCTTCAGCTCCCTGCATGGACGGAGAGGAGCCCGGAGTGACTGCTCGGATAGGGGCACCAAGGGATGGGGCAGGGCCCCAGTGCCCCTCACCAAGGAAGGGTAATAGACTGGAGATCACGTCCACCCTTTGCAGGGGATCTCAGGGCTGGATGATGATGGGAGGTATCAGCCAGGTATTTGTAACCTCTAAACCAAACCACCCCCAGGCTTTGGGGAGGGGGAAGCTGATGCATGAGGAAGGAGCCCCCCTGCAAAGCCCAGCACACCAAGGAGCCCCGAGTACCCCACGCCACTGGGACTCACCTTTGCCTCATCAGTGGGATGTTGATGCAGTTGGCGGCAGCCACGGCTGCGAAGGGCACGTAGCGGCCGATGATGGCCGGCAAGTGCTGGGCGAGAAGGGGGGCACGTCACGGAGATCCTTTGGGGTCAGGGCTGTTCCCAGCTTTGCCACCGGCTCCTGTAGGAGCCCGGGGTGTCCTTCCCCTCAGCTCCCAGCCCGGAGGGAGTTGGACCCCAGCAATGGTCCTAGCAGGGCCATGAGCCAACGATGGCCAAAGGTGCAGCGGCCTTACCTTGGTGAGAGACTTGAGCCCCAAGGCCGTGACAACTGCGCCCGTGGTTGCGCTCACATAGGCTGTTCCCAGCTGGCTGCAAGGGCAGGAGATGACAGCGGTGAGCTCGGTCCCCACGCGCCAGCCCTGCTCCCGTGCCTACCAGCACGGCTCATGGCCGGCCACCACCCAAGAAGCTCCTTGTGAGGCATGAAGGGCTCCATCGTGTCCCCCAGCATTTTGGGGGTGCTGGGGCCAACGCAGAGGGATGCTCACCTGGGGGTGATGGGTGCATCCCCACTGCGGTTGGTGTAGTTGACGATGGCATTGAAGGACTGGTTCACCCACTGCCAGAACAGCACAGCCGGTGTGGTCCTGCCAGGGACACGGCATCACCGAGGTCTCCCACCACCATGGGGCACATACGGCACGGGCTGCCCCCCAGGTGTGGGGCACGTCCACCCTTCTGCACCCCAAGGGCACTGAGGGGGCCGAGTGGGAAGGAGGTACCTGTAGAAGGTCAGCATGCAGCCGGTGATGGTCATGTTCATGGGCACCTGGGCCGACATGCGCCCTATGAGGAGCATCTTCTCGCCCGTGTCGGGGTGGAAGGCTGAGTCGTAGACGTACTTTGCCCGCCAGAGCTGGTCCTCCGTGAGCCCGGGAGGCACCGTGCCCGCCCTGTGGGGCACAGAAACAGTCAGACCCCCAGCTGCCCACCCCATGGGGGGGCGACTCCGCATCCCAATGCCATGGGGCACACCAGTAGCTTTAGCCTGGAGGGGCAAAGGGCTGGTGCTGGGTCCATGGGCATGGGGTGCAGGTCCTGGTACCCATGAAGATAGGGACAAACACCCAGATCCAGGCCCACCAGCAAGGACACAAGGAACAGTCCTCCAAAACCACCCCCTTCCCAGGAGCCAGGATGCCAAGGCCCCCCCTCCGTGCCATCGCTGTCCCCCTTCCCTGTTTGGGGGGGGCCTTGGCCCCCCATTTCCCTGCACACCGGTAGCTCTCCACCACACGTCGGGCCTCCTCCAGCGTGGCCCTGGAGAGCAGCAGGTTCCACGGGTCTGTCACCATGAAGAAGTGCTTGGCCCGGCCCTGGAAGGTGCTCTGGTCCCAGCGGGGCTCCCGGATGTTGATGGTGGCAGGCAGCACCTTGTGGGGCCAGGACCCAGCGAGAAAGCAGTGGGTGGCCCCTAGTCGTCGTGTGTGTGTCCCCGCTCCTGCTTTCTGGGGGGTCAGATTTAGCCCAGCCCACCCCCAGGGGGTCCAGAGGAGCTGAGGAGATCCTGCTTTGCAATTGTGCTGAGTAGGGAGCCCAAGGATCAGGAAGACCACAGAGTTTAACATTAAACACCCCACACATATCAGCTAGGAGTTCCAAACCTGTCTGGCACCAGAGGACACCCCAGCAGCCCAGCCCAGACCCCTGGGCTCCCAGTGAGGA